CGATCCGAGCAAGCGAGTCCCTTCGGGACTGATATACACAACGAATCAGTGTGCGGTCGCGCGATCGAGAAGCAACCGTGCAATATCCAGTCCGCCTATCAAATCCCTGCCACGTGGGCATTGTCGAATAATATATGAGAGAGTAGGAAAAGCAAGAGCGCGAAAAGCCGAGGAAGAGGAGTCCGGCTCTCATGACGCACATGAAGTGAAAATTTCATCAACGCCCTACGGCGTGCAACGTCGCACCGCCTTAAAAGTTTACAACGTTCGCGAAACGGCTTCCTTCCCTTCGTCGAAGAATCCAAACTCCGAAGAATCCGCCGCGGATGCGTTAATGCGTTCGCGAAAAAATTGACAAGTATATAGTTGAGAACTCGCCGCGGGGAAACGCCGTAAAGCGCGAGTGTAGTCGTAAACTGTCGACGTGGAATATCGCGAGATGCAGGGCGCTCGCGCAGGCCGCGAGAGGCATGTTGTATCTTTACATGAGCGTGCGACTTTATAAAATATAATTAATTAGTAATAATTAATTAGTAATAAAATAAAGTTAATTATCATAGAATGTAAAGATAATTATAATTGGGAGAAGATACTGGCTAACTCGAAAGCTAAATTAAATATTTTTCCATATCACGAAAACTTAAAAAAAAAAATCAGATAAAGATAATTATGTAAAATACATGGATAAAATAATTTGGTCGAATTTACCTGAAATGGACGAAGCAAATGCGTCTCAGATGAAGGAAACAGAATTTCTGCTTATAAGAGTAGCAGTTGAAAAATCTGTTTCTTTCATCGAAAAACACGCGTTTAATTCGTTCATCTCGGATTTTGCTTAGAAACTAAATAATTCTTTTGGGTATAAATATACAGATAAGGCTGATGTTTCTTTTTTTCTAGAAACTAAAGAGGATGTGTTACATTAAAATATAATGATATTAGAAAAAATTTACTGCCCTTCTGAATTATCTGTCTCCATGCGCAAATATATCCGTAACCTGCGAATTCGACGTTCTCCCATCATCGCTTCAATACCCCTCCCCTCCCTCTCCCCACCCGATAAATGTCTCGACTACTCACGTCTATTTTAAATGGTACTAGATGTAACACGTTAATTACGTATAACGCCGTATCACCGTAGTCTCGGTCCGCTTATAATTAATGCAGTAGCAGCCCCTCTTCGTCGAGCTAATTACACGGGTATAAACTTTCATGTGGCGCGCGACGAGGACGCCGTTAAAAGTTTGGCCGATGTGCGCGCGTTATGCGCACAAGGAAGTCGCGAAAATGGGAAGAAGTTCGGAACGACTTCGAGACAATTCGGAATACAGGGATCCTGCTTATAAGAACGCGAGCGCCTATTTGCATGCCGTCGGTAGCTCCGAGTTATATATTACACCTTCCGCCTCGCTCGTTCATCATTAATAATCTGAATCCCATTAACGGCCGACACATATTTAACTGAAGCCGGCGCGCGCTGTACACGCGACATATTTAACGAGGACGAATTTTATATACGTACGCGGTTTGTGATTTCGCATTTTCAAGCGAGAGAACGGAACGGCGAATTTTATATTTCAAGAGAGCGACTCGAAAACAAGAGAGCAGAACAGCGATAGTTTGGAGTAACGGTAACACGAAATATGTCGTTAAAGTGCGCCGGGACAATTTACATAAACTGATTATCTCTCGCCGACGGACAGATAGGAGCTTACGGTTGTCTTTAAGTAGTTCAAGTCAATCACTCTTCGTACTCGGCCGACACCGAGCGACTGAGAATAAACAGCTGGAACAGCAAGCTCATGGATCTCGCATTAGAGAGCAGCTGAAGCCGACCGTCTTATTAACATTATTGATCGCGAGACAAGAAACAAGTCTTTGTTACTGTTAATGAAGCTGCCGCTCCTGCTTGCTTTCCGCGGCATCTGTTGGGATAAAGCAAACAGTTTTCCACTCTTGTTACCACGTGGAAAATGCCGATCTGAAGTATTTAACAGCGACTATAACATCCGCTAATGAATTATTAATCTTTTTAAACTTGCTGCCTCTGCCTCGCGCGTTACGTTTATTTAACGCAGTTAATACCTCATTTAAGATATGATACGCAAGCTCCGCGATATTAAGCACGGTAGTCGTCTCCTCCCCGCTTTCTTTTCACATCTATTCCTTTTTCGCCGAAATAACTCGTCCGATATAATAAATACGATATAATAAATCAGGGAATAATCGCTTTCGCGTGAGGAAAGTCCGCCGAATAAAGATACCAAAAATATGTGCCTGTCGCTAAGTATCGTCGCCGTGACGAAAATTCCTTCCAAGGCACGCTCGAGCTTGGCTCGCTCGCGAGAATATTTTGCGTGTTTGATAAAGAAGAACACATTAGGCTCGTCGATCGATACATAGCGATGTGTTATACCTGTAGGAATTTTAATCCGATGGAACGCACATCACTTCACTAACGCGTAGTCACTTTAGACATGACGTGATTTCGTGCGCAAAATTCCGCTGTATAATAATGATACCACGATCCAACAAGGAACACAGTAAATCCGAACTTTTCGATTTGGGTGAACTTTTTTTGTGAATATATAGAGAAACTCAAGACATATTAATCGTGCTGTATCTTCATTTAAAAGTATGATTAGGGTGTACGAAAAAATGTCTTGAATCTCTCTACATTAGGGATATTCAATTCTGAATCGGTTTTTTTAGAAAATCGAATTTTTCTTCATAAAAATCTCTCTCTCCCTCTCTCTCTCTCTCTCTCTCTTTGCGATTTTGTCGTGAATTGATTATTTTTATAAGAAATTGATTCTCTCAAACTGAAATATCTCCCTCTATCTCTCTCCATCCCTCCCCCTTCTCTCTTTCCCGATAAAATCAAAGAAACGATCTGAAATCTATTCTTAAATACTGTATTCCGAGATATACCGATGCGACAACGTACGGCACGCATGCAATTCACATCGTATTGTATGGAACAACTTGTTTCGCTCGACTCGCCAGCGAGCGTACTCCCACTTAGAAAGATTGAATTCCAAGCACTCGCAAACCAACGAGCGAAATGTTCCGGTACACTGTTTGCGAATGCTTCCTCGGCGCGACCCATGCGCTCCGCCCGAAAGATTGGTAAGTTCAGCAACGATTTATAGATCGCAATACATCGCGGCAAATGTAACGGTGCACTTACTCTGTGCTTTTTTATGATAACCGATACCGACAAACGTTCCCGTCGCGGCGCGTCGTGCGATGTGCCGTGCTGTTATCTTCGCAAATACAGGTGCGAGATATCAAGAGGTAAGCGCGCGTAAAATGTTTTCGTCCTTTTTAACGTGATTCTCGGCGTAAAATATTAAGTTACTTTGTCTCGCGGAAGAGAAAATTTACGTGGAGGAGCGCTCGTGCTTGCGCGCCCGCACAAGTCGTTTTATTAGCGACGATTACATTAGTTAACGAGCATAAAAACAAGCACGGTGAATTTAGTAAGAATCGGGATAAGATTATCACAATTTCTTTCCACACGGCATACATACCGGTATACATACGCGCACGCGCGCGTACACGCTAAAAGGAAACTGTATTGTGTCAACGTCGGTATTTGCTGACTTTACGGCGAAGTGTTGCTTGACTTTGGTCGCCTCAGTGATATCAAGTTCAAGACTGTTTCAAAGGACCGCACCTATCAGTTTGTATCGAATGCTGTCTCACGGCATCTGTACATCGGCGATTAGATCTTTTAAACTCCGTGGATGTATATCAATCGGAAACCGCGCCGCACGAAGAAACATTACGTCAAAGCGTACCACTTGTCTTCCAGAATTATCGAAGAACGCGTTCCGTAAATCGCGCGGTAACTGTGGAAACTCGAGAAAATTATTTGTAAAGATTATCACGACGACGAAAGTGGCGAACAACCAAAAGCCGACATTAATCGTTCTACTTTCCAGGGCGTGAATCACTGCGTTTTAGAGCCATAGCAGAGCCTAGATATAAGTAGAAAAGCTCAACGGAAAAGTCAACTTTGGTTGACTGTTTGAATTATATCACCTAGGCACCATATTTTTTGTCTATCGACTAAGAGGATATGACGTACTGGTAAGTTATAATACTTTTGTTATATACTCTTGATATATCATGACTCAATTAAACTCCTTTTAGAGCCATTTTGTACTGGGCTTTTACGCGACCGGCACGGCATTGCCGTGCGAGCGAGCCAATAATAAAAAATCCCAATAATAATCATACTTATAATTGTATTTCTCACGTGCGATATTGCTGCGCGCGTTGCTGACAATGATAAAAGCGCCGTTCCATAAATGATTATGAAATATATGAATAAATTGAAAATTATGTAACCTTTCAATACACAATTTTGTTAAATAAATAGGCAATACGGCTTAATTCGCGCAAACATGCGCACGAAATTTGTTTACGCACGCATGCACACACGAGCACGCCAAATAAGCACGAAGGTTCCGGCACGATACCGTCATCGTGCTGATAAAGTGCGACCGCAAAATTAGGAGGAAAATATTTCACCGCTATCTACGGAATTTCCTTTGGAAGAATTAGGATGAGCTAAGTGTGCCGCATTGTGGCTGTACATGGGAAAGAGAATAGAAAAGTTAACAAGGTCTTCATAAAACAGTGCAGAGTACTTGGCTTTTAGGATATAACGTGACATCGCATACAACGAAAATCTTACTTATTCTCGCGCTTAGACGCAAGAAGGGAAAGTGGGTCTTTGTAAATTAAAACAATATCAAAACGATATTGCTCCTTGTTTTTACGCGACAACGACGCGAAGACCGAAAGACAGGAAACAGATTTGTGTGAGAAGAAGAAATCTCGAATTATTAATTACAGAGATTTCTCTCACCCCCTCTCTCTTTATCTTTTTCGATAAGCCTACGTGAGTTACACGAGCAGGGAATCAAATTTGTTGGCGAATCCGCGCATTACATCGAATACGCTCGAAGATGGAAACGCGTGGAACTCACCTTGAGAGTATTTTGTAGATTCTGCACCCTGCAGTGCATGTAGACTTGAGCACCAAGCTGTACGGTAATGTTGCTCTCCGGATCCTCGAAAAATGGCCTCGGTTCAGGAGTGCCACTAGTTTCAGTCACGAAACTTTCCACCTCGTAAACCTACGATAAAAATCAAAACCCGTTCACGCTTTCTGTTACTCGATGCGCGTTCAATACTCCCGTAATGTAATCTGAGAAACTATAATTGGCTTTTGAAGTAACGCGAATTGCTTGTAACCGTCAATCATATATATATATATATATATATATATATATATATACAGGGTGTAACAAAAAGATCGGGACACTAGAATATTTTGAAAAATATGAGTTTTATTAAAAAATGTTGCAGACAAAAACTGTATGGTTTCGAGGGAATCATAAGATGGTGTCATCGGTTTGACCCTGAATAGTCGCTTGAAAGTCACGTGAAGGTCAGCTTCAACACTTGTGGGTGTGTGTGTGTGTGTGTGTGTGTATGTAAGTATATAAGTATGTAACGCTTCATGCAAAATGCATTAAACAGTGAATACGAAACACTCAAACGGTGAACGCGGTTATTCGAATTGCAAATTCCGGTAATGTACATAGACTTTACATTCGTGATAAATGCGCGTTCTGCGGCGAGAATTGTTCAATAGATGTAATAAATGTTGGAGCAAAATTTTTTCCTTAAAATATCATACAGATCGTACCGTTGATACGAACAGATCGGTCATTTTAAAAGACTAATTTCGACTAAATCTTTTCGACATTCAAGTGACTTTCACATGTACCATCGAAACAAAATAGAATGTTATTTCTAACTTCTCATTATACATGAACCTAAATGATTAATTGAAGTAATTCCGTCGAAAAATCTAATAGTATTTATATGCGACTAACCTCTGTGAAAGGTGAACTGAGTTCATGCCAAAATGAGCGCGGCAGGTTTTCTAACCCTGGAAACGACTTCGCACCTGCAACACAATTCAAAAGATATTTAAACATATAAATAATAATAAATATATGTTGTATAATAAATATATGTAAATATATATTACATTGTCTGTACCACGTTAAGAAGATATTCTCATTTGAAACGTGGTTTTGTAAGAAATTTTTAAACATTTTTTTGGAAAAAGAGATATATATTTCTGAAGTTTTGTACAAATATTTATCTATGTTGTAACTATATACAATAAATTCTATACTATTATTATCTCCAATATTACAATAATTTTTTGCTGTTGCATAATAAATTTCTGCAAATCACCTACCAAACGAAATGTTCCAAATGATAATATTCTCTCAAACTGTAAACGAAATATCCTAAAGCCAATATCGATCGTTCCATTTTGAAAACTTATGACAACCAATTTGTACTCGAAATTTCGTTCAACAAGCGAGAGGTACGTTTAACATAGAGGTGCAAAAACATTATCGCGAACAGTCGCAAGGATGTAGAGAAATGAAGTCTTCTGAAAATCCACACAAACTGAAAGCTTCATTGTGTTAAGCATACTAAAAAAAAAAAATTAAAGAAAAAGATAATACGGCTCGTGTATATAAGACCGAAGAGAATTTCACTTTCCATCCCGATGCGACGGGACGGAGCGAATCCCTTTACTTGCCGACACTTGAATGGCCTTATCAGCAAGAAGCACACGCGACTATGTAACTTCCTGAGACGGTACGCGCAAATATATTCACCTCGTGCAGTTTCACAACCAACGGCAAATTTCTCAATAAGCCGCGCGATTTCAAACACGCAAAAAATTTAATAATCTCTCTTAGGAGAGAAAAAAGGAAATAAAGAAACACCGTATTAAAAGGTAAGACCGTGAGAGATTTCTTCATTTTCGTCATTCCATCGTTTGCGTTTCATACTTTGATCCTCATCGTCTTCGCGTATATTTTCATCAAGATACTTTAATATACTTTAATTATACGAGTGCTCCTGTTCTCTTTTTTCTTGCGATATCAGAGAGAAATTATGAGTGCCACGTAATTCTTTTTCAGTAATAATCGATAGTAAATTGGTCAAAGAATCCTGTTGCGCGCGTTGTGCGCGGCTAGCGGTGCACGAAGCCCTGTGTGAACATTTGTATCTAAACCCTCGTGTAAAAATTTCAATATTAAAGCCATAGTTCGACGGCCGGACTGACAGGATCGATTCGGTCAAATTACCTTTCGCATGCATCGCGTCAGTGTGCGTTCACGCGCGTACACTGGGAAACGCGCGTCGAACGCGACTCCGCCGTAATTCCCGCGGCGACGAAATGAGCACGTTCATGCGCGCGCGTATGCCGGCAACAAAATCTAACATAGATTCGCGCCGGCACGTCCATCTTCCTGTTTAAATGCAAAAACGCGGAAATACTTTCGACATACGCGCGCACACGCAACCGACCGTCGGCTTGCTCTTGTGGCCTCAGAATAAATATTTCCGCAAAAATTCCAAGTAAACACACACGCACGGGGAGAGTAAATGTCCCGTTACGAGACGTTTCGTAAACAATACGCGTATTACGCGCGCATTATGCGCGTATACTCGTTTCTAAGCGGATTTCTCTCTCTCTCATGATAGCCGTGGAAAAAGAGGAATGAAAAATCCGAGTGGAGCGACGAACTCGCGATGAGAACCAGACGACTCGACACAGAGCTTTAAAAAGACCGATCCATCCCCGGAAGTAACAATTTATCGCAGACTGAATAAATGATCCGAGACTTAATTAGGACAAACGGGCACCACAGTGAATCGCGCGCACATCACACATTTCGCAACGTTTGTCCGCTACAATTCCGCGAGCGCACAGAATTATCTTTCCTCATTCTACATCCCCTGTGGTCGAAGGCGGCCTTATAAGTATAGCTTTGCATAGCTTGGCACGGTACGCGAGTCGAACAGAAAGAGGTAATAAAGCCAGTTTCCAAGCGAGTCGTCGTTTTTTCGGAACAATAGCGGAAAAGCATGCAATCTCCTCTCTTATAAAGCGGCCGCGCGCGCCGCTGAAGGAGACACAGACTGCGGAGTGTTGAAAAATAGACCGCGACGGAATCGCGGAGATGCCGCGCGAGACTGCGGCCATTGCAATATCTCTCTCCATCAAATTCGACGATTCAAACGGTCCTTGTCGTTCTACGCGGCCACTTCGAGACGGCAGAAGAAGAGAGGCAGGAAGAGGCGACTCGGCTCGCCAGTCAGAAGGGTCGTCTTTGCTCAGAGACGAACCTCTTCCTCTCGTTTCCACGAACGCGCTCGAGGATCCGAGAAATCCCGACGATGTGAAAGATGCGGCCCGAAAATTATTTTCCCAGCTGATCGTCCGCGCGGTAACCCAAATCTGTACCGTTTCCTTTCACCTCGCCTTGACGAATCGTCTCACTTTCCGCCTGTTTCTCTATCTCGCCTCCCAAGGTCTCTCCACCTAACCATTTCTCGTGGAAGGATAGGATAATCCTCGGGAGATGTATCAGCTCCTACGCCGGCGTAGGGCCACCTCCCGTTACACCAATTTAACAAGTTGAATTCTCCCGCTGCAGAGACACCCCGGGAAAGGAATGAGGCGGACGGACTTCTAATATCCGCTGGAAAGACGAAGCACGTAATCTCCACGGGAGGGATAAACCCGGTTACCGGTCAGGATTCCGAAATACGCTTCAGACACAGCCCGCGAACGCGGATTACACTCTCGACGCGCGTCTGAAGCTACGGGAACGTCGACGGATGATTCAACAATTGAAAAAACCTCTTTCACATTCCTGTTCAAGTATAGATAAGTGTTATCGATGTATCGAAAGATGAAATATCGATAGTAGGAAAAGTCGATACATGAAACATCGATACTGTACTTCCCACCCCTACTATCAACTAAATCTTTTCAGCGAGATTTTACTGTACTTGTAACGGACTGTACTTATAACGGACTTCATTATTTTTAAGTGATGATATACTGATCCCATTTTAGCGAACACGGAAAATGCGATGCTCGAATACGTAGTTTCGTAAAAAAGGAAAGAAGAAGAAAAAAAGCAATATGTAAAAGCGGAGAAAGGCGTTCGCGCACAACCGGTAAATTCTCAAAGTCGCCTCGTTATAATACATATTTTCGCGTCACAAAGATGCAGCGAGAGCGGATCCGACGCGCGCGCCGGAAGTGCCCTATATTATCCCTGTCAAAGGAAAACAGACTTTCGTGCCTCCCGAGGAGTATCGTGATCAATTGCGCGATTTTCCTCATCGTTCTTCCTCCCCTTCAATTTCAGCATTTCAACCGACGATGTAAGAGCCGCCTCGAATCTAAAAGTACGTCGGATCGACCGCGGTTTGTCGCTCGGTACGGCGTCAAATTTATGGAAGCCGTCCGAGCTCGTGAATTTATGAGAATCCAATGCCTTAATTGGAAAATTATAGGACAATGTCTGGCTGCCGACCATTCGGCCCGCGGCTCGTTATTCAGCCGGCTATAATCTGGTTTTCCTTCAGAAAACTACGCGCCTGAATATTTTTCACCGGTAACAAAGACTCTCTTTCCACCGCTGAGCACGCCAGCGCAGCAGAATATTGGTGCGAAGCTACTGAACGTAAATACATTGAGTTCGCCTCTCGATCGCTTTCTACGATTTCCCCCTTTCATTAATTTTCCTCAATTGCGCGTATCATTGGCCCTGCCATCCTCTCCCATCTTCTCATTTATTTGAAATAATGATCCGCCTCCTCTCCCGACATTTCATCTGAATAACATCAAACTCCCTTTATTACAACTTACCCAAAGTGCTGGCTGTGCACAGGAAGTGTATTTGGTGAACCAAAATGGAGGCCACCACGGCCGAAAGACGACTCAACATCGTAGTCGATCCTCAACTCATCTCTGTTCCCAAAGTTGGTACACAGCAGCACCGTTGTCTATCTGCAAACACAAGAAACAAGCGCTTGCTTCAAAATGTAGCTCCTATCAGCGAAAAAGTTTTGTGCGCGCGCGTTCTAAACGAGAAGCGGCAAACAATCGACACAAATCGCAATCTCATATTAGCTAAATTTAATCGTGATAGTATTATGGTATTACGGGCACAAAAACAGCCGAGCGCATAAAACGGTGATCAATCAACGAGTATGTGGTAATTAGCATGGCACAGAGCGAGACCGTCGAGGATCATTAAATACCGGCCTGTGCCTGAACGTCAAACGGCCCTGCCAAACCAAATGACTCCCTCCGGACTCGAAGTGAACTTCCTGTTTTCTACCTCTGTTCTATTCGAGTTCGCGGTACACAGAATGTCACTTGTTAATGAGATCAGTACCGTATATCCTCCAAGTACGCGGCCAGGAAATCGCGTCCCTTCGAACGAACTACACAACACCTCGCGCGCAACCCGTATGGAAAATCAAGGTTTCGCAAAAACTCGGCAAAGTAATTAAAGACGAATGTGAAGCGAAACGAAATGTTTTCATCGCGAACTCTCTCTCTCTCTCTCTCTCTCACGAAAAACGGCAGGCGCGGATTTTTAAGAAAAAAGATAGAAATACCCACAATGTCACTTCAAACAGAGAACATTCCGCGAAATTCGACACGGATCCAAGAACGAAGATTCCATGTTAATTTAATGAAAATATGCGCCGTAAGCTATGAATAATACATTTACATATTATTATTTGGGAATGCGCGGCATAAATTGTACGAGTTGTTTACGCTCCGGCACTAATTCATAACGTTTCGCTTCCGCAGAGGCAACATCTGGAGCGACGCGATGGGCGTCTACGTCCTGTCATTTGCGTTACGTACATCATACATTAACGCGTCGCGTCGAAATATCACGTTGTATCTTTATGTCTCTTATCGCGTATAAATATCCCGCGTTTGCACTCGGAAACCTACACCTCAGTGCGCATGACTGAATTCCAATTAATCTTTCTCTCTCTCTCTTTGCCTGTCTGCTCCTCTTTTGAGAAACAGTATCAATAGTCCACTCACGAAAATTTATTTATAAACATATACACCCCTTTCGGCATCCTGGTACAACCGACCTCTCCGCGTCGCTATCCTCCTCCTGTCGAGTACACGTCGCGATCGAGTTATATTGAAGAAGCTCGAACCCGCTCGACGAGAGGAACGAGAGATCGCTAGACCCCGAAACGACTGGCGAGAACCACGTGCGGATCCCGAGCAGGAGGTAAATCAACCGGTCGCTCCAAGTCAAACAGAAGATTGTTACCACGAAATTCCGCGTGATTCAATTTGGCCGGAAGTTCGGGGGAAAACACGGTGCGCGTCTTGGTAGTCAACCCGGTACCCTGGAAGAGAGAGAGAGAGAGAGAGGGGGGGAGAAGAGAGGAGAGAAAAGAGAGAGGCCGGGTTCGCTCTAACGAATCTATCGACAAGTTCGGAGTTTCTCCAGACGCCGCGGCAGCTCTTTCACCGGCTGTCACCTTCCACATAGTGCGTCCCCCTCCCTTTTCCTTTTCTAACCGCCATTCCGTCCTGTCTCCTTTCCGATCAGTCTCTCGCGCCGGCAAAGGACAAGCTTCGTGCTCTCACGATCCGCTGGGACCGCGGAACTTAGAAGGGACAAGCAATTTTCAGTTTTCCCAACCGGTAATCTCGAAGACTCGTCGTTTATTCGCACAAGTTTCAAATTATTTCACCATCTGGCGCAGGTGCCGGCGCCGGTAACGAGTTGCGGCGCCGTGCCGGCGGTACGAATAAAAGTCTCCCCTGTATCTAACTGCTCGTCGTCGTTGTTTGAACTAGACAAACTGAGTGCGAATCGATGAAACAACGCGAGCCGGAGAGACAGCGAGCACGAGCGCCAGCGCGCGCCGATTCGATGACCGGAAAAACGAAGGTAAACGCGCGTTGTCGCTGAAAACTGGGGTAGACGCATCGGCAAATAGCCTCGACGGGAAATATTTTTAGCTGACCCGCCTATTTTTCTAAATAAAAATATTATCTTTGCCGTGCGTTATTTTTCGTATTGTAAATACAATACGACGGGACGAAGAAGAAAAAGAGCGAGCTAGCGAGAGAGAGAAAGAGAGAGAGAGAGAGAGAGAAAGAGAAATCGCGTCAACAGCCGATCATATGGCGGGTGCATTCCAGATCGCAATCGATCGATCGACCAATATTCTTATCGATATATATGTGCCCGTTTCGGCATCCTTGTTCGCAAACCAATAAACAAATCCTCACCTGGTCGCTACATTCGCGCAAGTGGCACGATGTGACGCATACTTTATGGTTGTGTCGAACACGCCCTCGGTACGGTGTAACATACTTGTTCCGCGCGCTTGTTACCGGTAACTAATGTTCCATCCGCCCATTCGATAGCGCGATATCGTCCAATCGGCAGCGGAAGACTGCTGGACCAGAAAGAGATCGAGCGATTGAGCAAATTACGACACGTAGATTGCGAGCACCGCCGTGCGCGCGGCGGGAGGGCCAGGAACGATCAGTATACTCTGTCGCGCGGCATCGTTGGCGAAATGAACGGAGCAGCGGGATAAAATTTCCTCGTTTTGCGGCGAACGCCCAAACGAGCTGATCAGCCGTTCGATCAAACCCACGGGGTCATCCGACACGTCGTAAACACATCGAGATCTTTTGACGTATATTCGCGAGCTTTTAATGTCTAGTTTTCCTTCATCGTCTCTCCCATTAAAGCCCATGTCTGGATCAGTAAGCTTAGCAAAAAGCCAACAAATAGGAAGGAAGATTCCCTGCGTGTTGAATGAAAGCTTCAACACAGAACGAACATTTCGATTCGGGGTCTTCCTTTCCTGTAAAGCTCTCAAGGAGTTTTGCCCTAGAATGTCGATAAAAGCACCTAACCATTTATCTCTTTTTCTTTCTTTGAGTTATATAATAATATAAAAGAACGTAAATTTCAGTAACAGTTTCTCGCTTCAGGGTAACGAAAAGCACCTTCCCTGTTATAAAAGATAAAAATCAGCGAGAACGCTTACGCTTCTTATCTCGTTGTAACTTCCCCGGCTGTAACGTCTTACCTTCACGCTGATTAGACCGAAAGTGCGTAACTTTGAACGCACTGGAGTCAGTGTTACTATTTGATTTCGTTAGGAGCGCAGGTTTGGAAGTTTATAAGGGACGCGTGCAGGTAATCAATCGATCGAGAGAGAATTGCCTGATAACATCGACGTTATGAAGCAAGTTGGCAAACAAGCTGGAACACTCCCTTAGATCATCTTGAACTAGCTGTAGCCAACTTCCAAATTTCCTACACTTAACCCTGCGATGCAATTTGCCGCGTGCGCGCCGCAAATATTTGCAAACGGCGTGTAATTAAATATCGGTTAATTTGTACGGTAAAGGGGAGTTAAGAACAGGGATTGTAATAAATGTAAGTCGAGGAAAAATTCTCCATGTCGAACCGCGTATCTTCACGACTCTTTATCTCCCGGCTTATTCTCCGCCATACGTGAGGCTATCGATTTTGGCAATACGACGTCCGCAATCGCAACTTCAGCCAATGTTTGCTCAATAAACCTTGCGAAAGCCGACGAACCAACTAACCCGTTAGCCCGTTGGCTCTCGATCTGGAAGTTATTAATCGTGCCGATTGCAGACGCCCGGTACAATCCGACAAGCTTGAACAAGGGGATTTAGCAATTAGACTGCATTTTCGAACAGTAAAAATATCGAAATACATTACCGTCGGCGAATCGATACCGGTTCTCAAACCAGGTCACGCCAACGCTCGGAATTATTTCGAGCGCGCATACGCAAGTCTTGTAAGCGTGCGTGGAAATAAATTTCGCCGAGAGAGCGGACTTTATTTCGCTCATATAGCGCGGCTTATTTCCAGCTGTTCCACAACGTACACACGTGAAAGTTGAATTCTTGCATCGCGATGAAGAAAATAGACGAAGAAAACGGCGAAGTTGCGTCCAATCAACGGGGTAGAGGAGAGAGGAGAGGAGATCGGATTAAAGTTGCGACTGATCGCGACGCGATGTTTGCCGATGACGCTTTGATGTCAGAAATGACAACAGTCAAGTAGCCACGGCTACAATGGCCATGCTATGATAAAGGCGACAGTCGCGTGTCATGCGGTCGTGCAATAACAACGGCATGTGTTCGTAACGACAGCCATGCTCGCGGCGGTAACAACGACGTAACAAATCGACGTTCACGCGCGGCGTCGCGCGCGCGCAGGGATTTGTTTAAAATCCAATAAAATGAACGCCCCCTCCACCCCTTTCACCCCATCCGCTAAGAGAAATCCTCGTCTTTGCCGCTCGCCGTATTTCGCAAGAAATATAAGCGACAACTGCAATTTGATCGCATTAAACGCAATGATATGACTTTACTTGCCCGTCGGCACGACGCTTATGTGAATTTATGGCGGCACTTCCCCTCCGTAAACTTTTACACTGACCGTTTTTAACGCGACTTTGACGATACATTACAGCGCGCAGCAGCTTACCCGGTACGTACGTACACTTCGTACGTATCGTACGTACGTGCAGCGGTAGAATCAACAAAATGCGCGCGGCGTTATGTACTGTCGCGATATCCTACCGTCAAGCGGCATACCGTCGCAAGACCGGTCTCTTCTGCCCATTTGGCCGCCGACCATCGCGTCTCGAATGCACAAACTGCGCTAGGAGGGCCCGACAAATGCCCGTTACCCGCTGTTATATCATAAAACCGCCCTAACGACAACTTGATGGAACAAGGAGAAATTTTATGTCCCCTCGTCGAATACGTAAGAGCTGTAAATTTTATTTTTATTTATTATTTTGGAGATCTTGAAGAATGTCACTTTCGAGAAGCTGGAGAAACATTGGACCAAGTGTGTTGACTTTCGAGGGAATTATGTTGAAAAATAAAATCTAATCTTGAAATAAATTTATTTTGTTTCCGTTATCATTCTGGAAACTTTTCGAACTACC